TCCTAGCTGTAGTGAGCTGAAATCTTCACAGGATTCATTTCTGGCCTCTACCCACCTTGTGTGAACATTTGACTCAATTTCACGAAGTTGGATTTTTGGGCCAAAACTTGGAATTTTTGATGACCGCGGATATGGATTTATTTTTAGTTTTGGGACATTTGGGTAAAAAACTTAATTTTTTTTCCTCCCTGGATTCTTGCTGTAGTGAGCCGAAATCTTCAGGGGGTTCATTTCTGGCCTCTACCCACCTTGTGTGAACATTTGACTCAATTTCGTGAAGTTGGATTTTTGGGCCAAAACTTGGAATTTTTTATGACCGCGGATATGGATTTTTTTTTAGTTTGGGACATTTGGGTAAAAACCTGAAATGTTCTTTTCCTCCCTGGATCCTAGCTGTAGTGAGCTAAAATCTTCACAGGATTCATTTCTGGCCTCTACCCACCTTTTGTGAACATTTGGCTCAATTTCGTGAAGTTGGATTTTTGGGCCAAAACTTGGAATTTTTGATGACCGCGGATATGGATTTTTTTTAGTTTTTGGACATTTGGCTAAAAAACTGAACTTTTTTTTTCCTCCCTGGATCCTAGCTGAAGTGAGTCGGAATCTTCAGGGGATTCATTTCTGGCCTCTACCCACCTTGTGTGAACATTTGACTCAATTTTGTGAAGTTGGATTTTTGGGCCAAAACTTGTAATTTTTGATGTCCGCGGATATGGATATTTTTTTAAGTTTTGGGACATTTGGGTAAAAAACTGAACTTTTTTTTCCTTCCTGGATCCTAGCTGTAGTGAGCTGAATTCTTCACAGGATTCATTTCTGGCCTCTACCCACCTTGTGTGAACATTTGACTCAATTTGGTGGAGTTGGATTTTTGGGCCAAAACTTGGAATTTTTGATGACCGCGGATATGGATTTTTTTTAGTTTTTGGACATTAGGGTAAAAACCTGAAATGTTTTTTTCCTCCCTGGATCCTAGCTGTAGTGAGCTGAATTCTTCACAGGATTCATTTCTGGCCTCTACCCACCTTGTGTGAACATTTGACTGAATTTCCTGAAGTTGGATTTTTGGGCCAAAACTTGGAATTTTTGATGTCCGCGGATGTGGATTTTTTTTTAGTTTTGGGACATTTGGGTAAAAAACTGAACTTTTTTTTTCCTTCCTGGATCCTAGCTGTAGTGAGCCGGAATCTTCAGGGGATTCATTTCTGGCCTCTACCCACCTTGTGTGAACATTTGACTGAATTTTGTGAAGTTGGATTTTTGGGCCAAAACTTGGAATTTTTGATGTCCGCGGATATGGATTTTTTTTTAGTTTTGGGACATTTGGGTAAAAAACTGAACTTTTTTTTTCCTTCCTGGATCCTAGCTGTAGTGAGCCGAATTCTTCACAGGATTCATTTCTGGCCTCTACCCACCTCGTGTGAACATTTGACTCAATTTCACGAAGTTGGATTTTTGGGCAAAAACTTGGAAATTTTGATGACCGCGGATATGGATTTTTTTTTAGTTTTGGGACATTTGGGTAAAAAACCTGAAATGTTTTTTTCCTCCCTGGATCCTAGCTGTAGTGAGCCGAAATCTTCAGGGGGTTATTTCTGGCCTCTACCCACCCTGTGTGAACATTTGACTCAATTTCGTGAAGTTGGATTTTTGGGCCAAAACTTGGAATCTTTGATGACCGCGGATATGGATTTATTTTTAGTTTTGGGACATTTGGGTAAAAAACTTAATTTTTTTTTTCCTCCCTGGATTCTTGCTGTAGTGAGCCGAAATCTTCAGGGGGTTCATTTCTGGCCTCTACCCACCTTGTGTGAAAATTTGACTCAATTTCGTGAAGTTGGATTTTTGGGCCAAAACTTGGAATTTTTTATGACCGCGGATATGGATTTTTTTTTAGTTTTGGGACATTAGGGTAAAAACCTGAAATGTTTTTTTCCTCCCTGGATCCTAGCTGTAGTGAGCTGAAATCTTCACAGGATTCATTTCTGGCCTCTACCCACCTTGTGTGAACATTTGACTCAATTTCACGAAGTTGGATTTTTGGGCCAAAACTTGGAATTTTTGATGACCGCCGATATGGATTTTTTTTTAGTTTTGGGACATTTGGGTAAAAAACTGAACTTTTTTTTTCCTTCCTGGATCCTAGCTGTAGTGAGCCGAATTCTTCACAGGATTCATTTCTGGCCTCTACCCACCTTGTGTGAACATTTGACTCAATTTCACGAAGTTGGATTTTTGGGCAAAAACTTGGAAATTTTGATGACCGCGGATATGGATTTTTTTTTAGTTTTGGGACATTTGGGTAAAAAACCTGAAATGTTTTTTTCCTCCCTGGATCCTAGCTGTAGTGAGCCGAAATCTTCAGGGGGTTATTTCTGGCCTCTACCCACCCTGTGTGAACATTTGACTCAATTTCGTGAAGTTCGATTTTTGGGCCAAAACTTGGAATCTTTGATGACCGCGGATATGGATTTATTTTTAGTTTTGGGACATTTGGGTAAAAAACTGAAATGTTTTTTTCCTCCCTGGATCCTAGCTGTAGTGAGCCGAAATCTTCAGGGGGTTCATTTCTGGCCTCTACCCACCTTGTGTGAAAATTTGACTCAATTTCGTGAAGTTGGATTTTTGGGCCAAAACTTGGAATTTTTTATGACCGCGGATATGGATTTTTTTTTAGTTTTGGGACATTAGGGTAAAAACCTGAAATGTTTTTTTCCTCCCTGGATCCTAGCTGTAGTGAGCTGAAATCTTCACAGGATTCATTTCTGGCCTCTACCCACCTTGTGTGAACATTTGACTCAATTTCACGAAGTTGGATTTTTGGGCCAAAACTTGGAATTTTTGATGACCGCCGATATGGATTTTTTTTTAGTTTTGGGACATTTGGGTAAAAAACTTAATTTTTTTTTCCTCCCTGGATTCTTGCTGTAGTGAGCCGAAATCTTCAGGGGGTTCATTTTTGGCCTCTACCCACCTTGTGTGAACATTTGACTCAATTTCGTGAAGTTGGATTTTTGGGCCAAAACTTGGAATTTTTTATGACCGCGGATATGGATTTTTTTTTAGTTTTGGGACATTTGGGTAAAAACCTGAAATGTTCTTTTCCTCCCTGGATCCTAGCTGTAGTGAGCTAAAATCTTCACAGGATTCATTTCTGGCCTCTACCCACCTTTTGTGAACATTTGGCTCAATTTCGTGAAGTTGGATTTTTGGGCCAAAACTTGGAATTTTTGATGACCGCGGATATGGATTTTTTTTTAGTTTTTGGACATTTGGCTAAAAAACTGAACTTTTTTTTCCTCCCTGGATCCTAGCTGAAGTGAGCCGGAATCTTCAGGGGATTCATTTCTGGCCTCTACCCACCTTGTGTGAACATTTGACTCAATTTTGTGAAGTTGGATTTTTGGGCCAAAACTTGAAATTTTTGATGTCCGCGGATATGGATTTTTTTTTAGTTTTGGGACATTTGGGTAAAAAACTGAACTTTTTTTTTCCTTCCTGGATCCTAGCTGTAGTGAGCCGAAATCTTCAGGGGGTTCATTTCTGGCCTCTACCCACCTTGTGTGAACATTTGACTCAATTTGGTGGAGTTGGATTTTGGGGCCAAAACTTGGAATTTTTGATGACCGCGGATATGGATTTTTTTTTAGTTTTGGGACATTAGGGTAAAAACCTGAAATGTTTTTTTCCTCCCTGGATCCTAGCTGTAGTGAGCTGAATTCTTCACAGGATTCATTTCTGGCCTCTACCCACCTTGTGTGAACATTTGACTCAATTTCACGAAGTTGGATTTTTGGGCAAAAACTTGGAAATTTTGATGACCGCTGATATGGATTTTTTTTTAGTTTTGGGACATTTGGGTAAAAAACCTGAAATGTTTTTTTCCTCCCTGGATCCTAGCTGTAGTGAGCCGAAATCTTCAGGGGGTTATTTCTGGCCTCTACCCACCCTGTGTGAACATTTGACTCCATTTCGTGAAGTTTGATTTTTGGGCCAAAACTTGGAATTTTTGATGACCGTGGATATGGATTTTTTTTGGGTTTTTGGACATTTGGGTAAAAACCTGAATTGTTTTTTTCCTCCCTGGATCCTAGCTGTAGTGAGCTGAAATCCTCAGGGGATTCATTTCTGGACTCTACCCTCTTTGTGTGAACTTTTGACTTAATTTTGTGAAGTTGGATTTTTTGGCCACAGCAGCTAAAGGGTTAGGCCTGATAGTCTTGCTTTTCTGTGTTTATTTTGCTAGGACAAGTACATCTGGCAGCTTTGTCTCATTTCGCTGTGTAATCGTCTCAAGAAAGACAAATTCCAGCTATGAAACTCATCGTGACAAGAAGAGAAAGACTTGTTCAGAACAGATAGGACTCAACCCAGGCAAGTCACTCTATTTTGTCTGTTTGCATATCGCCTCAGTTCTCCTCAGCCCATAAATCAAACAGGGGTGCGTTTCCGCAACCATGACCAGAAACATGTTTGTGACGTCAAATTGATAACCAGAAACATGTTTACACATGGACACAAAAACGCTGAACCGAAAACAGTGTCAAAAAGTTGTAAACAAACATGGCTGAGTGTGTAAATGGGATGGCTTGTATAGGTCTACGAGACATTTTATAACAGGCCACTTAAAAATGCACAAACTTACAATATATGCATTAAAAATAAACTTAACAAGCATATGTTTCCCAACACCGTTTTGTTCAATGTCGTGTATTTATGTTCTGCCATCTCGAAATCCACTCCGTAGCCAACCCTTGGCCTTGGTGCGGTTTTGGTTGGAACAGTGACGTCACTCCAGCCAAACGAAGTCACGAAAATGCTTAATCAATGACCAAAGCCATAACATGTTTCTGGTCACGGTCACGAATAACAGAATACTAGAATAACAAATGTTATTTTAGTAAATTATTCATATTTTACACTACTATTTTGTATTTGTTACTGGTATAGATGATGAGTTTCAGGTTCTGGTAGCTGATACTGTAGTTTCTTCAGTAACCATGGAGGTCTGTGTGAGTGGAGCCTTTCTACACAGTGTATTGGGTTTACTACCAGGAGCAACGGTTACGTTCAGGTTGGTATTAACAAATCTAGAGACTACAATTTTAGAGGCCATTATACTATGAACCTCTGATCCCTTCAATTTTCATTAAAAGTCCACTTCTCCATGAAAACAATCTTTAAGAGATGTTTCACGGACATTTACATGGGGCTTATTTAGGACTAATCCTGTAAGGGTATTTTCACGTTTTTTTAATGACCCTGGCCACTGAGGATCAGTGGCCAGGGTATTGGTTATACATAACGGTACACTGGGTTTATCTCCATGGGTAAACAAAGGACTATCTTAAGGGTGTTTTCACGGACTCCTAATCTGGCTTAATATGTTGAAAAATCTGTGAAAATATAGTTAACAGTACTTTCAATGAAAAATGGCTCTTTAACAAATATATAAGGGATGAAAATGTTCATGTATATTGTCGTGGCACTGTGCTTGTGCAGTAACAGAGCTACATTATTCAGAACACGTTGCAAACAAAGGCCAACGAGCAGGGCATTGCAACAATCCAGACGTGAAGAAACAAAAGCATGGATGGCCTGTTCTGCTGTTTCCTGTGATAGTGGAGCTGCTAAGCGAAAAATCGTGCACTTTGTGGTAAAAGCATGAAATTTGGCATGTGGGGTCAATATGGGCTAGAAATCATTTTAAGATCGGGACCCATCCTGGATTTTGCCCATTTTGGGGGCGGAGCTTGATTTTTTGAAAAAGGGGGTGCAAACAATAAAAACTCATAAAAACTGTATTTAACATCCATTTTCTAGTTTTTCTATGCTTTGAAAATAAACTTAAACATAAAATAAGACATTCTAGCGTTTTAGCGCCTGTTATTTTCCACCCATTTTGTGGGCGTGGCCTAAATGTGTAAAAAAGGCGGTATATGTCAGCAGTTTGGTTCAAATATGGAAAATACCATTCAGTTGGGTGGTAAAATCTTGAAAATTAGCATGTTTAGTCGAAATGGGCTGAAAATCATTTTAAGAGGTGGATCCATGTTGGATCTTGCCCATTTTGGGGGCGGAGCTTGATCGGTTAAAAAGGGGAGTGCAAAATTTAGAAAAACGGTATTTAACATCCATTTTCCTTTGTTCTTCATGCTTTTAAATAAACAGAGGCATGATAAAAAAAAATTCCAACTTTCAAACACTTGTTATTTTTACCCTTTTGTGGGTGTGGCCTAAATATGAAAAGGAGGCCGCACATTGGAGCAGCTTGATTCAAACGAGGGAAAATCATCACTTTTGCTGGTAAAAACACAACTTCTGCATTGGTTAACTATGTTTTACCATACACAGTAAATATAAATTTAAAAAGGTTGCAAGGATTTTGCCTTTTTAGGGGTGGATCTACAATTTAAAGTAGGGGGTTGAATATTCCAGAAGATTAAATATTTCATATTTAAATTAGTGTGATTGGCTACAAGTAACATAGGTTACAGCAGCTGCGGCATTTCCTTGTTTGTAAACACTACCAACATCACGGGTCACGGGGGAAGGGGGGGGGGTGTGCTCTTTCAGGCGATGACAACACCATTCACTTTTTGTAAGCCCCGTATTAAAGTAAAGGTCAAGTGACTTCATGTACTTGACAAAGTATTGTTTGTCAATTAATGGTCTATCTGATTACAAAATATCAACATGAGTTTTATTTTGTTCAAGACTTCGTTCAATCGATGGCCACTTTTGAAGATGTTGGATAAGGGTTAATCTTTGTTCAAAGTTTCATGTTTATACAAGGTACTGTTTAGAAGAAAAGAAGCGGAGCATCATGTAGAAAGAAGAAAAAAAAGGAAACAAAGGGCAGAAGAAAATTGTGGCCATTTCAAAATTGTGATCGGGTTGTACCCACTCCTCGCTTTTTTGCGCAGAAAAGCCATGAAGCCGTTCTGGGCGCAGACGTTTTGAATTCATGTGGGTGTTTGTAAAACAAAATGAAATCAGATGAAGTGAATTTCAAAAGTGCACTCTAAATGTGGTATCTACGAACATGACATCAAATAGAGTACTGGCCAACCAACATTCGTGCCGAATTTTAGGAAAATCACGCAAAAAATATAGGAATTACAATGGGAGAGGGAGGGGGAACAACAATGCGGTCTTTAGCAGATCCATAACACCCCAGTCCTGATAGCGTGATTGTTAACTTTCAATAGAGTGTGGTCGTATCAATGAAGAGAGAATCCACAGCCATTGACTCCTGGCAATTGCTTCAATATTTACACATAGGGCCGAAAAATAATAATTCTGCTTCCGGTACCCCACCTACCCTATTTTGACAGCCCCTACCCTAATATTGTTTTGGGAACAATGAAGAAATTAAACAAAAACCATCAATTACCACCTTTTACCATGGAATACACGCAGACACCTACATATGATCAACACAAAAAGAATGCACCCCACAAGAATTCCCTACCTTCCTACCCTATTTTCAAATGCCATGTTATCGGAAACAGAACTATGTTTTGGCCTAGGCTGTACGTACCAGGTACATCTAAGGACATGAAACCACTTTGAGTAAGTATACCCAGTAGAAATATTACCATTTTACCTTTCTATGCAAATATTCAGCCCTCTACTTTAAAATGTAGCTCCACCCCTAAAAGGGCAAAGTCCTTGCAACCTTTTAAACTTATCTTTACAGTGTATGGCAAACATAGTTAACCAATGCAGAATTTGTGTTTTACCAGCAAAAGTGCTGATTTTCCCTCGTTTGAATGAAGCTGCTTTAATGTGAGGACTCCTTTTCGTATTTAGGCCACGCCCACAAAAGGGTAAAAAATAACAAGTGTTACAATGTTTGATTTTTTTTTATCATGTCTCTGTTTATTTAAAAGCATGAAGAACAAAGGAAAATGGATGTTAAATACAGTTTTTCTAAATTGTTATTTGTTTGCACTCCCCTTTTTAACCGATCAAGCTCCGCCCCCAAAATGGCAAGATCCAAGATGGGTCCACCTCTTAAAATGATTTTCAGCCCATTTCGACTAAACATGCCAATTTTCAAGATTTTACCACCCAACTGAATGGTATTTTTTATATATTTGAACCAAACTGCAAATATATACCGCCTCTTTTACACATTTAGGCCACGCCCACAAAATGGGTGGAAAATAACAGGTGTTTACAAGCTAGAATGTCTTATTTTATGTTTAAGCTTACTTTAACGCATAGAAAAACGAGGGAAATGGATGTTAAATACAGTTTTTATTGTTTGCATCCCCTTTTTCAAAAAATTAAGCTCCGCCCCCAAAATGGGCAAAATCCAGGATGGGTCCCGATCTTAACATGATTTCTAGCTCATTGCGACCCCGCATGCCAAATTTCATGCTTTTACCACGAAGTGCACGATTTTGGCCAAAAATGGACCTAAGCAGCTCCACTATGACAGGTACTTGCGGGTTCTGCTTATGTTGCATAGGTGGAAGTTAGCACTTCTGCACAAACTTGAGGTATGTGCTTCCATACTGAACAGACGGTCGAACACAACTCCCAGATTTCGAGCACACTTGTAGACTGACACCTCGTGGTCGGTGATGGTCAGATGTGGCAAGATGAAATTCGAGAGATCAAATCGAGATCCGAGAATGAAAAGCTGTATACCAGGCCCAGCAGCCTGAGCACTTGATGGTTTTCTGGATTCATCAAGGAGTAAATACTATACGTTATCCAGCAAGCCTGATTGGAACACGGAGTAATGTAGTGCGTCTGTGTCCGGTATATGGGACACAGATGCACTTATACTTTACCGTGTTCCACGAGCGCGAGCGAATTTGACGCACAGTAAAGATGGAACACGCATGCTGTACATGTACACAAACGTTTCAGCAGTTATCCTATTACACATGCATGTTGTACGGAATGGGGTGCGCATTTAGAAAAGTGCAATACGCGGAGTGCGGTATGGACCGTGGCCGTGCAACATGATTATATGTAGCACGGCTTGTTGCCATGGATCGACCAATCATGATCGAAGATTCAAGTTTACTTGAAGATAAAATGTAATACAGTGTTAAGTAAAGGTACTCGTTGGTAATAAAAAAAAAACTTTATTGATTCAATATTTCATTCTATTTTCTTGTGTCTTTGATGTCATCAAACAGGCAGTGCCTGAGATCACCCTCTGCATCCAGCCATGTCCACTTCCGCGTCATTCCTCTGACTTCAGTGACAATCAATGCCCTTCCGAGTTTCGTTCCCAGCAGCCAGTGAGTTATTGTGTCCCGTAAATCAGTTTTCAAATTGGTAGCGTTGATATTTCCTGAAATGTTGCCAACTGAGGAGTCACCTCATGAAACATCATGGATAATTTGAGGACAAATTTCATCTGCAAATCAAAAAGGGTCGGGCAGTGCTATTGTATAGGATTTCCCTGTAATGGGTCACTTTGTATCAAATCAAACACTTTCCGAGGACAATCTCACAGATTTTCTTTGAATTTGCTGAAATTGTTTGGTCATACGAGAAAACTACAGAACCTAAATTTGTGTTTTGGATCGTGCGGTTTTGTGAGGTCATTGAACTGTTGACTTTGCATTTTTCACTATAATTTTGGGCATCTGTATCTGCCGGTTATAGAAATGCCGGACAAAAAGTATTTTTATCTGATAAGAAAATGCCAGTTTTGAGTCGTGAATCCTTCAATTACATTATGATTTGATTAATATCTCTTTGACTTCGTATAATTTTCGCAGGGTGGTGCAAGATTCTCCATTTACGGACGCACCAACAGACACACTAGCAGTCCGACCAACAGACCACCAGGATTCATCTTCAGACCCATCCCAGCCTTCAACGCCTCCTCGCTGCTACTACCTGTCTCATCTACTCTCCAATCCTGACTCGGTCTCTCCGACCCAGACAATCGTCATCCACTGTCACCTGCAGGCCATCAAGTCACTGGTTCTCAAGTGAGTCAACTGGCTGTACCGAATACTCAATCATTTAATCATTCGTGGTCTCCTCAACATATTCACAGTTGGGATCACACACTCTGGAATTTGTATCCTTGTGGAGTCATTTCTTTGTTCTCGTGTACTAAAATTTTAAAGTTTGAAAATCTAGTTTTAAAATGCTCCTAAATTTAATCAGAATTAATTTCCTGGAATGAAATTGGGATTTAATATCCCTTACATGAAATACTTCAATTTGCGACAGATCAACACACCTTTGAAATTCCTAGTTTTTGAGTAAAATCCATCTTTTTAGTGATAACCTTGTGGAGACATATTCAACTATAGGAATCGCTCTGTGGAGACAATCTTTTGTTTCCTATTGAGCACATGTCTCCATAAGGTACTGTTGAATTACACTGGCTACTCTGGTGCTACTCCTTTTTTAAGTTTGGTGGTACGTGTCACACCCTGACCATATTCAATCATCCACCGAAAATCTGAAAAGCTTTTTTTTTCTTCCAGTTTTGAGTATTCGCAAATATGAGAGGTCTCAAGAAGATATTGAATAGTGTCATTCTTTTAATTGAGCCCTTGCATCTTAAAACTCTTTCAAATATCAGCTAGTCATGTACCTCAAAAATAGCTCAATATTTACACAACTTTCTGAATATGTTAATAAGCTCATTGTCAATTTTTGACAGGCACACGCAAAGCATGATTAGCATCCCGTTGAATATTGGCCTGAACATGGCACATAAAAAAATTGATCAACCCATTGCAATATCGGAATACATGATAGAATCCAAGTTTGAATAATCCACAGTCCCATTCAACACACTGCTTCCATGTGCTGGTAACGTTCCCTGTTACCGCTTGATATTGGTTTCTCTTTGTCTAGATGGTCTTGTCAGCGCTGCGGCCACAAAGACTGTGTCTGCAGCGCAGATATCGCTGAACTGGAAGGGAAACTGACGTCAACTGCAAGGTAGAGATTGGAAGATTAGTAACTCGTATCTACCCTAAGTGGTATTAAACAGTGCAAACTATAACTTACTGACTGCGTGAACAATCTACCCCCTCACTCGAATAACAAAGAGAAATACGCAGTTACGAGATTGAAAAAATGTGTGTACATTTTCCCTGTGCTTGTTTTCCTGAACTGATTCCATGAACGAGATGTTCATGGAGTGTATATGGTAATCCACCTGCCCCAATCCCTGTACAGGTTTGCTGTTGAAGACGGCACAGGGGAGGCCCTGGTGTGGTGCAGTGAGCCCTCTGCCATCGCCCCTGTGCTAGGCCTGACAGCACCCCAGTGGACGCAGCTAGAGCTTGAAATGCAACGCTGCAAAGAGGTCGTCTACTCTTACAAGAAACCCGACTACAGAGAAAAGGTAAGATAGTCCATGTAGGAACTTACTGTGGTGTTTAGTTTATTGCTGGTCCCAGGAGGCCAGCCTTAGTGCCGTATTTGTTCCGATCCCACTGACTGATGGGCCAGTGGACGGGACGCAAATTATTTTTTTTTCCAAACAACATTGTATGGATGGTTGTGAGCACCCTCTACGATACTTTTTGTTATATGTGCGCAGGCATATAATGCCATGAATTACGGATTGCTGTCGAGCTCCTCGATGGCTCAGCTGGATAATTACATGGTTTGAGATGGGAGGTTGTGAGTTTGAAGCACATTTTGCCATTTTTTTTCTTTTCTAATTTGCGGCTTTGGAGGATTATTTTTTTTTAAGGGAAATAAAGATAAATTTCATTGGGTTCGAATTCATTTATATTTTTTCTTTTCTATACATTTTTTTCATGTTTTTAGGGAAGTTAAGTTCAAAACCTCATAGCGTACACCCCATTTGCTCAAATTTTGCTTATGTCGTTTGGGGGGACAAATCGCAGACGGGACACACCACACGTGTGCACTGGTTCCTGCACGTATCACGTGAAGTACGCACAACTAATTATTTTTCTAAATGTGCACAAAGCCATACCCTCTTCAGGTGCATGAGCGTCAGGCATCGTCTCCCTTTCTTACCGTTGAGGGGTGCTTATGTATGGAGCTCATTGAATCACTGACTGTGGCTTATAGCGTAGTGAAGAGAGCCGGGCAGTGCTGTCATATAGGATTACCCCGTAACACCAATGAATGGGCTCAATCCAGCCCTTTATGTAAACCAGATGCCTAAAACTTCCATTGAAAAGATTTCCATACTGAATCAATGGAATAGAATTTTGTACGCTCTTGGACGAACTTGACTAGATTTCCCTTGTCTTGTTAAACGTAATTGGCTTATTTGCAGCTATCCAAAAAATAAACGACAAAATAATTGTTCAAAAGCTTACTTGGTTTAAAGAAAGTAAAGACATTAAGTCCCCTGTTCAATTGTTCCTTCTGGCATGCTGTCATTTTGGAAGAAAACAGTATGAGAAGGTCATTTCCAAAGATGTGTCAAGTGACACATTTTTTTAAAGTTATCATTTGTTGTTGGTTTGTAATTGGGCGAATCCATGAATGGATGCAAGTGTTGGCCTTTGCACACTTGGGCGCGGCTGCTATTATTTGTCGGTTCAGTGTATGAAATCACGTAGCTACACTCGGCTGAATGAGAATCATGTCACTAAAATGCTGATTTCAGGATTGTGTCCAACGAGAGTGCACAATTCAAAATACAACATGGCAACTTTCGAACTGAAGTTGGGAACCAGAATATAGTGTTTTCTCAAAATATACAGCATTCGCAGAGCTAAACTTCATCGGGTTAGTTGTTAAGCATCTGCTTTTAGATTTTGAGTGCTTTTGTTGCTTCAAACGAAAAAAAATGCACAAACGACAAATGGTTCATTCTACCTTTAATCAGTCATACATGAATCTCTTTTTGCAGGCCGTCATGCCTTCCCCAACAGACACAGAAGGCCTGGTGAATCTACTTTGCAGTCATGACAGTGTACAGAAACCATTGGTGCTGCACTGCCAACTCATGGTCTGGGGTAACGGCAAGAAGAATGCCATGGCTAACACAGGTTAGTCTAGAATATTGTGAATCCTCCTTTGTTTTATCCTCTATTCATTAAAGACAGTTTGCCCATTTCTATTAATCGAGAGCCCATGTTGTCTAAAATGGATGATAAGGACATGGCTGGCTGATCTTAAACACTTTTCCAGTGTCACATGAAAGTTGGACTCCTATGATATCTAGTGCCTTTAACCATTTTATTGGTTGAATGTTGACGATCCTCACTCGACTTTTGGACCAAAAAATTAAGATTTTGTGACCGAAATGGTATTTGTGAATAGGAATTTGGCTCGGGTAATTGTTAGGATTCAGTTAACACCTCAAAAGCACATATTTCGTCACCGTCACCACGAACTGACACTCACGCGTGCGTGAGTGCGCTGCATGCACGCACGCGATATTTTGGGTTTCACAAACTGACATCCTCCACAGTGCGGCACTTTTAGAGCGCACCCCGTACATTTTCGTTTTCAGGAACTGACACCCAAGCATGATGCGGCAATACAGAACGGAGAAAAACGGTTTGGAAGGTTTGACACAAATTTAATCTATCCGTGTACTTGTGTGATTATACAAATTTTTAATTAAAAAGCGATTCAATTGGTAAAATTAAGATCAGTGTCAGTTTGTGAAACCGAAAACGCATGGGGTACGCTATAAAAGTGCCGCACTGTGGAGGATGTCAGTTTCGTGAAACCCAAAATATCCCGGTTTGGTAAATACGTGCGCATGCAGCGCACTCACGAGCGCTTGAGTGTCAGTTCGTGGTGACGGAGACAATTTATTCCCTTATTATATTTTTTATGCATGCTTGTCTTTAAAAAGTTGAAATAGCATGTGTGTTGAAGCAATTTAGTAACATTGATACGGAAATAAATATGCGCTTGGCCAGTTTTAAACTGTCGCCGATAATGGCCTGAGCTGGTTTCAAACATACCTACCTGCGGAAAACCAGCTGAGAACATGTATATTCTCACTCATAAATACCTTTTGGTCAAAAAGTCAAAACAAATCCAAAATTCACAAATTTCTAACGATTTTGTTCAACAATTTACTTCATGTTTTGTGTAACACTCCTATGGCCCCATGTCTATGGTATGTGCCTCGTGCGCGTAGTCCCGAAAAACTCCTTATATGGAAATTGGCCCATAGTGCGCGATGTGACACTGAATGCAGAACCAGCTGGTATTTTACGGGCGGTTTAAAATGACCCATGTGACAGGCCAGTCTTGACCAATCAATCAATCAATCAATCAATCAGGTGCCGTCTTCTCGCAGAAGGTTGGCTGCAATGGATTTCCATCTGTCTCTGTCCTGAGATGCTCTCCCACATTCCATGTAGCTAAGGCCAGTCCAGTCTCTCACATTATCAAACCACGATGTTCTTCTTCTTCCTCTTGATCTTTTCCCCTCTTGACCAATAGGAATGGGTAAACTGTCTCAGGTATTTATGAATTCAACTGAAAAAAGTGGTGGTAAAAACGTAATATTTAAATGAAATCAACCTGTGATGTTACTTCAATAACCTGGCATTTGTGGCCGTTCATATAGTTCCCTCAATATGATCTATTACACGTCTTTCTTTATCTTGTGGCCCTCAGGGATAGCTGGAAGGCAGTACGCACCGTCTGTTCACTTGAAGTGTTTATCTGCATATGAAGGTTATCACTAAGCACATCAAAGATATTCTCTGGAAGTCCGCGTTGGGTAGGTTTTATCTTTACAAGTCAAGGGAAGCCTAGTAAAGCTGGTCCCAGAGTGCACACCATTCTTTTCAATTGCTTCAGAATGGCTTTTTTACTGGACATCAGTTAAGCACGTGGTCTACACAATGGGCTGGATTCAGCCCATCCATTGGCGTTAGGGGTAATCCTATATGACAGCACTGCCCAGTTCACAATCAACAGTCATTCAGGTAATCAGTCAGGCAGTCAGTCAGTGAGATAGGTAGAAAGAGGACACTAGGCTGGCCCTCTGGGACCAGCAAAATCTGAAGTTTTTAGAATTGTATCATTATTGAAAAGCCTATTGTTAAATGGAATATTCACAAAGACAAATTAAGAAAAAGTACATACATGCAGGAAATAAGTGTTTTGTAGGTCCTAGGCACCGGTGTTCCATCCGGTTCGTTAGTAAAAACGTCATACACGCACGCGCACCACTGATTACTAGCGCCCATTGGCTACAAACACTCGAGCTGCGTTAACTTCCGGTTCCAATCGTGCAGAAAGTGCTGGAGGTGACGTCACACTAACGCACCGGATAGGCCGTACATGCTAAGCTGTACTAAGCAAGCCCAGACGCAGATAAAAAATTTGGGTTTTTTTTCCATAGAAATTTAAGTTCCCCCCCCCCCCCACACTCTGACACCCAAAAATAATTATGCTGATATTTAGTTTACGCCTGTACACAAAATACAGACAGAGCCTGCTGGGTTACGGGGGTAGTTGTACACTGTCCTGTTGTATAGTGTTAAAAATCATCGGATTTGAACAGCGCCCCCATTGAAATTATGGTCTATGGTGTCGGAGATAAAACCTGCCTAAAGGAAGTCTAAGTCCATGAGGACAAAAATTATTTTATGGTGACAATAATTTTTTGTCTTACTACTTTATTGGCTTGTGTTATTAATTATGACCAATCACTAGGTAAGCAGTTAAGAAGTTATAGTTCCAGAATCGAGTGTGTTGTAAATTAATTGCCATTGCGGAGAAGAAGAACCTTCCTAAATGAAGTCATAGTCCGTGAGGACAAATATTAATTTACGGCGACAACAATAATTGTTTGTCTTTATAATACTCCATAGGCTATTATTATTAATCATGACCAATCACTAGGCGAAATTTCAATCCAGTGCGACAGGTTTTTTAATGAGTTATTGTTCAAGAAACGTGTGTGCTTTAAATTCATTTTTGTCATTTCAGAGAAAACATTGCCTAAATGAAGTCACAATCTGTGAGGACAAAATTTAATTGACAGTGACAATTTTTTTTTGGTCCTAATACTTACATCATCCAGGCTTGTGTTATTGATCATAACCAATCACTGGGCGAAATTTTCAGTAGTAAGACAGTTAAAGTAAAATATAGCCAATATTCCATTTTTTTCTTTATCTTAAAGGACTCAAGACATTTTTATCTTTGAAGTTTGTTTGATTACTTTGAAATCAGTCATTTCAAGACTTGTTTCTTTGCATTTTTTAAAGATTCTATCTCTTTATGTCCACATTTTTATGACATTTCCAAGATGGCAGCCATTAGGTAGATTTTGGCGGGAAATTGTCGCCATCTGTCCAATCTATCCATGGGACTGTTTGATCATTTGCTGTATTTATCAACTAAGTTCGTGTAAAAATACATATTAATGGATGTATTTTTGTAAGTATATTTCAAACAGTCAGTCCAATGCTAACCGAAGCTGAGGGAACACCCTGTCTCAACCTTCTCTAACTTTGAATCATTCAAATCACTTATTAACCTTTTTAGTTGCGGAATCTTAAACACAACCACCGTTTTAGTTCTGTCCATGGATCACAAAAAAAGGTGTGCGTTCTTTCAGCAAAACGAAAACAATTCACACACATCCCTATTTGATTTGTTTTCGTTTTGCGGAAAGAACACTGAACTTTTTATGTGATCCATGGACAAAACCTTAAAACGGTGGTTGTGTTTAAAATTCCGTTACTTGAAAAGTACATGAGTGATTTGAATGATTATTGTACTAAAAGAAAGCTTATGAATTGGGCTTCTATATCCTAGATTTTGAAAGTGCTACATGCAGAAGTTCACTAAAACAATAGTCCCGACATTTGGGTATCGGGGTTTATTTTACTCACCCTGTATATTATATACTTCATTGCATTTTGTTTTCGTTCTCAGTTGTTCATGTATAAACAACGATATGTTACTTTTTAAATATTTGTAAACAGTTCAAAAGTCGAGGACATGCTTTTTCTGGACAGAAGGGAGATAGTCACATGATTGTCACAATGCAACAGATACCTCTTGAGTTATCTTCTGGAAACCGGATGTGTTGCTTTCGTGTCATGAAAGTTGACTCAAATTCACCTGGTGTTTTTTGTACTTGTTTTGGATATGTTAATGTTATTGTTTAATGCTTCCTCGCCAAATTTAATACCTTTGTGTAACCTATGACGACCAATCAATGTCGAAACTGAGCATGGGAAGGGTGGAATTCTAAAAGGTAACACAATGGCGTTTATTGCGTTTTGGAAAGAAACTCTTTGAATATTTTCCTCAATTTCATTATCTAACCAGGCACTGGAATGATTTCCATGTTTTGCTTTCAGCACTTGAGTACATAATATTCTTCATTGCACTTTGTTTTCTTTTTCGATTATTCTTGTATTTATAATGTGTTACTTTTGAAATCTTTGTAAAAAGTTCAAAAGGCGAGGACATCATTTTCTGTACAGAGGAGAGATTGTCATAGATGTAAAAATGTCGGTCCCCCTCCCCCTTATTCTTTTTTTAGATCCACCTTGTAAACTCCATTTCAGATTGAAAGGAAATTCTCATGACTATTAATTTCCATTGACCAATCACGTTTGCTTTGCCGTTACTACAATAGCCTGTCTATTTCCATCTCTCAGAATAAATTACCACAGAACTGAGACGCCGGGTCCTCTTTCCATTTTGTTAATGACTCTTATAAAACCGGAAACCGAATAAATTTGTTTTTGTTCTATGAAAGCTGACTCAAATTCGCTTTGTATTTTTGGCGCTGAACACGCTATATTGTTTTGCGTGTACTATTTTTTATTGTTTGATGATGGATCTAAATATCCAACCCCTTGTGTTACCTATTCTTCAGCATAGGCGTATCAGCGGTGTCCCTGGATTTATACTACCCAGCACATGAGAGGATTGGTCCATTAGGCCAAAAAAAAATAAGTCTCCGGTTTCTGGTATGGAGCTTGTCCAAAAAGTGGTGCGGCGACGCGGCTTTTTTTTTTTTTACCTGACTTTTTTGCTTCAAATGTCGGCTGATGACAGCAAATGGTGCCCGACTAAACTTAGTGCAAATATATGGGAGTCCAGAGAGGCCACATAAAGCTTATTCTCGATCATAACCCCATCTAAAAACACGTTAAAATTGTGCAGTAGCGGGATTCCAGTCAAACGAGTGAGTTTGGCGGGTTTGAGACATCATCTTTCATTGAAAAAAAACTTTTTCATTTTGCCGACGCGCATGGCTACGGCGACGCGCGCGCATACCAGAAACCGGAGACTTTTTTTTTTTTGGCCTTACCGACCGAACCACAAAACCGGAGTACAGGGTCCATTTTAGAAACCTGGTCGATACACAATGTACCCGATCTGAGTGTTTGCGTATGTTGTTTTCTGCCCCGCCCCCAGAAATTGACCCGGTAAGCTTGCGTGTACATTCTCATTTCTGATGCGGGATTTTCCAAACAAAAGAAATATTTTCTCATCATCGAGGAACTGAAACAGACAGTGACGCAGGACGAGGACAAGCTACTGTAATTCGGCTACTATTGTAAAAGGTGAGTTAAATTGAACGCAGAGGCTTTTACTATGAAAAAAAATCCAGAGTTTTTAAAGTCAACGACGGGGAGTTCCCCCAGTGAGAAATCCACTGATGTGCAATGTGTGCCGGAAGGTGTGTGTGAGTGCGTGGTAGGTGTAATACCGAGTTGACATTTACCTTTACCTATATAGCCTATACGTGAACATTTACAGCGTTATTCCAAGAATCGGTAAAAAAAAAAAAGGGAACAAAGGCCAAAAAAAAAAGTCTCCGGTTTCTGGTATGGAGCTTGCCCCAAAAGTGGTGCGGCGACGCGGCTTTTTTTTTTTTTTTTTACCTGTTTTTTTTTTTTTGGCTTCAAATGTCGGCTGATGACTGCAAATGGTGCCCGACTAAACTAAGTGCAAATATATTGGAGTCCAGAGAGGCCACATAAAGCTTATTCTCGATCATAACCCCATCTAAAAACACGTTAAAATTGTGCAGCAGCAGAATTCCAGTCAAACCAGTGAGTTTGGCGGTTTTGAGACATCATCTTGTATTGAAAAAAAAACTTTTTCATTTTGCCGACGCGCATGACTGCGGCGACGCGCGCGCATACCAGAAACCGGAGCCTTTTTTTTTTGGCCAAAGGCTGACTTCACTTTTTTACCGATGGTTCACTTTTTTTACCAAAGACGAGGAATATTACTTGACCAGAACAGCAGCTGAATAAATGGAGCTCCAGGTTGACTCGCTTTATTCTTACTCGCGATTTTGTTCAATTTGCAGGCTATGGATTTTCCCGTGCCAAAAGCTCAGAAAGTTTCGGATCATTTTCGTCGCATTCTGACAGATATCCTCGAAGAACTTGTAGATGCAGTTCCCGATGGATACACATCCAATACTGATATTGTCAAGCAGTCGTTGAGAAATATCTCCAATCTGTACAAAACCGGACTCCGGTTTGCCAGTTCAAATTTGCGATCTGACTGGGCTGACCCGGCCAACCGCTGCGCTTACGTGTTTCTTTACCTGATGCACCATTGCTATCTGGTGTACGGCTCGTACCCCAACTGGAAAGACACATGGGACACGATATACGCGCAACTGCCGGAGATCTTTACTGTAACTTACCACAGGTGTGATCTGGTTAGAGACACAAGACTCCACACCCGAGAT